TCCATCTATGTCGATTGAAAGTTTTGCTAGATATAGTAGTCTGGGTTGGCATCTGTGATCTCTAAGCTTCTGCATGATATCTGTCCAGGTCCTTCTGGCTTTCACAGTCTCTATTGAGAAGTCTAGTGTGATTCTGATAGGCTGCCTTTATATGTTACTTGGGTTTTTTCCCTTGTTGCTTTTAATATTTTTTCTTTGTTCTGAAGAGTTAGTGTTTTGTTGATTATGTGACAGGAGGAGTTTCTTTTCTGGTCGGTCTAGTCCATTTGGTGTTCTGTAGACCTCTTGTATGTTTATGGGCATCTGTTTCTTAAGGTTCTTCTATGATTTTCTTGAAAATATTTTCCGGGCCTTGGAGCCTGGAATCTTTTTTTTTTTTTTTTTTTTTTTTTTTTTGTCTATTCCTATTATTCTTAGGTTTTGTCTTTTCATGGTGTTCTTGGATGTTTTGTGTTTGTAAGGTCTGATTTTACTTTTTCTTTGAGAGATGTGTCAATTTCTGCAATTATATCTTCAACTGAAATTCTCTCTTCCATCTCTTGTATTCTGTTGGTGATGCTTACCCTTGTGGATTCTCTTCTCACGTGAGAAGTACAGACGTCAGGGTTTTGGGGTCCACAGTACAGCCTGCCAGTCACCCTGCTCTCACTGCTGAGCTGCTGTTCAGATACCCCGCATGGTTGGCGCCATCATCATGGATCTAGCAAGCTGAATTCTGAAGCCATGATTCTAATTCATACTTTCCACCTTCCTCACAGCTCTTCTTCATCTATACCTGCATTAAGAGAGGTGTGGTATGACTTACTCTGTTACTTGATTTATATCCTCCTCTGCTTTGTGAGCTATATTTTAAAAAGTGAGTACCAAAAGGAAAGAGAAAGTAGTGTTGCATAAGGTCTTGCTTGCTAGAGTTCTTTGTCTTGAATGTCCAAAGAGTGTATCTTCAGTGCGTTGTTTTTTGTTTTTTTTTTTTTAAGAGTCATTAGAGATTTCCATACTACAAATTTTTTTTTTTTTTTTTTTGGCCAAGGGCATTAGAGTTTCTAATTATTTCCTTGGAACCTAGCCCCAAGCATTTATACCATAGTTTCTGCAATCATCCCTGAACTGCTGCCAGGAAATCACATGCACACTCTACTCCCCAAAATAGTAAAATCCACGAATATTTCAAGTTCCACAGAATTTTGCATATAACCCATGCAGAGCCTTCTGTGGATGCTTAAGTCATCTGAATTATTTATTATTTCTATATATAATGTTAAGTGGCTTATAAGTAGCTGTTAAACTACATTGCTTAAGGAACAATGACAAGCGATAACATTTTGTTCGTAGTCAGTACTGATAAGTCTTGTTTTTTCCAGAGCTTTCCCATCCATGGTTACCTGACTCTGCAAGTACAGGGCTCCTAGATACAGGGGGTTAGCTAATTTGTTTCCTCTTACAGTCTGTGCGGAGCACCTTCAGAACAGTTTGGGGAGGCAGGCTGTCTTTTGGACATGCATATGTAAACATGCGTTAGTTTAGAGGAAATTTGTTATTTATTTTACCATTAGTGGGAGTACAAACCACCTCAGTGCTATGACATTCACTATAGGCCTTGAACATTTTTCTGAGAAAATAATTTTACTATGTGGGAAAAGAAAAGAAAACAGTGCATTTCTCTTTAAATCTCAGAATCACAACTCATTGACTCCTTTTTGGATATATATAAGATAGTGTTTAATAGATGACCTCAAAACCAGGATGAGTATGTGTTGGTAAACTACAAAAGATTATATTCTTAATATGCTAGCATATGTATAGGATTCAAGTGAAGTCTGAGACTCAAGTTAAAATTCCATTCAGCATTCTGTTTACATGCTTAAGGAAAGCATTTAAAGCCAAGTGCAGTGGTGCACACCTATAATCCTAGCATTCTGGGAGGCAGAGGCAGGAGGATCTCTGTGAGTTCAAGGCCAGCCTGGTCTACAAAGGGAATCCCTGTCTCTGTAATGGGGGGGGGGGTATTCAGAGTTTCTTACACTGATTTTGTGCTTACAGAGCCGTAGTCACCTTGTTCAGATCACCTCCGCATGCCACCTCCCACTTTATACTCTAGTCTCTTCTTCAAGCTCCTCCATTCATCATTTATGACTTTGGTTCTTACCTTGTCTGGCTGCCTAAAATGCTCACCTTTTGTATTTTCACATGCTTGAAGTGTACTTTTTATTCAAGGAAAACCTCAGAAACTCCACCTGACCACTCAAGTTAATGTAGCTTCTCCAGGTACCTAGTAGTTGTGGTACAACACCTGAATTCTTCTCATTTGAAGTAAGATTCTTCAGTTCTTACTGTCAGCTTATTAAAGTGTATGTCACAAGAAAACAGATCTTGTATGCCTTTTGTTCTTTGACCTACTACCTAGAACAGGTTTCTGTAGTAGCAGGATGCCCAATGCCCAAATATGATGATAAATGAATCACCATCATGAGCCCTTTCCAGCAACAGCATAAGCATAATCTTATAGTTAAATAAAAATCCCTATTCAGAAATGGACAGAGGACTTCCAAAATTGCAGATAAGCACAGGAAAATACACTCAACATTGTTAATCATTGGGGAAACCTAAAAACCACACTGTTCATAACCATTCAGATGGCATGGGGAGTTAGCATAGTGGGAAGGAGGAATTATATAGGAACACAGAGTTTGCAATGATGGGAAGACTCTGCAAGTAGACACTGTACTGCTTTCCTGGTCCACAGCAGTCTGGATGTCCTTCATGCTACTGAATGGTATACTTCAAAATGTCTAAAGGATAACTTTTGTGAATAGTTTATGATCAAATTTTTAAAGTGATCAGTAGTGTCTGTTTATATAAGAATATAAATATATTAAAGTACTGTATTTTTTAAATCTGTTCAGAGTTATATCCCTGCCTTGAGTACTTCAGGTAAGCCTGCAGTGAACTCAGCAATGAAAGTGTCTCTTGGCTGTAGAGTGGAATTGCATAATTGTTTCTATACAGTATTATGGTTCACATTGTCAGGTGAGATTGATGGTGTTATGGTGGTTTGTTATAATTTTTAAGCATATTATAGAAATAAAATAGAAAAGCAGTATTGTCTCAGGAAGATAAGCTATAAATCCTGTTTTGCTTTTAGTATAAAGACCTTGGGCTTGGTTAACACATGAACTGTTTCTTTGTTGACTTCTTCCTGCTGAAATTGAGAATTTTGCCAGAGTCTTAAAAACTCACTAGTAAGAAGTCACTCTAGTTGTGTGATAAGCCTCAGGAATAAATGCAGTCCTTCCCTCTCTCTTCCAAAAATGAAAAGGAATTGAAACATGACAGTACCTTTAGGTTTTCTGGTACCCCCCCCCCTTCCTTTTTGGCATGTCCGGTAGAGAGGAGTTGTTAAAAATCACTTGTAAACATTTGCTCTGAACTGGGATTCTCTGAGTGTGTTGGGAGTGGTGTGTGTATGTGTGCATCTCCATACTCATTTCAAGCAACAGCTCAGTGGTTTCAAAGCAGGGCTACACCAGAAGATGTCACCGAACCAACTCCTTGTATGGGCTTACTGGGAGATTGAGAACTCCTTTGGACATTTTGTCCTAGGCTCTTTGGTGAAGTTCCAGAAACAGGTTTTCTGATTTATTTTTGATTGTGGAAAACTAAGCCATCTTTTATGTTCTTGAAATTAGGTAAACTTACAGAGGACAACATTGTTGTACATAGTGGCCTCATTATAAATTAGACCTTTACCTAGAGTTTAAAGTACCTTTTGTTTTCTTCTAAAAGTTTTCTTGCTGTCTTATGCTTGTTACCCATAATTTTAAAGTCTGTCAAATTTTTATTTATATCTCTTATTTTAATTTCAGATACTTAACAATCTCTCAGATATTCTCCATTTGCTTAACAAAAGTAGACTTCAGTCAGGCTTAGATTCAGACTAACTTGAAATACTACAACAATTACTCTCTTCCTCAAAGCTACTGTTAAATTTGGCAGAGTACACCTTTTAGAGATGTCAAAGGTAGTGATAATTCATTCCTAGCACAGACCGTGTTGTCAGCATGGCATGCTTGAAAGCATTCATAGATGTAAATACCACGTAAAATGGTCACTTACCACTGGGATATTCACTCTGATTTAGAAACCATAAGTCAGAGTACAGAGGCTAACATACCATAATGATGCTTATAAAATCAAATATTTAGCACTTGGGAATATCAGAAAGCAGGAAACCAAAAGAAAGCTTAGTTATTGAGGAAAAATTAAGAATAGATATCCTAATATGTGGATAGAATTGCACTTCGGAAAATAGTCATTACCAACTAAGAATGAGTGAACTTTGCTCACCTTTGGGTAATCAGTTAAGAAATGTTTAGCTGGCCAGGCAGTTTTGGCTCATGCCTTTAATCTCAGCACTTGGAAGACAGAAGCAGGTGGATATCTGTGTGTTTGATTCCAGCCAGTTCTACAGGTGCGTTCCAGGATAGCCAAGGCTACACAGAGAAATGCTCTAAGGGAAAAAAAAAAAAAAAAGAAAAAGAAAAAAAAAAAGGTTTATCCTGAAAGAAGGGCTATCATAGAATCTTCAAGAAAAAGGAGAGTGCCATTCATAAGGAAGGGCAGCACAAAGACTTATTTCTAAATAAGTATTTTTAAATTTTCAAGATTAATTAAGAATCACATTTTTTATAATACAACATTTATGTTGGGAACCATCTTCTTAAAACATTCTTCTAAATTAGAAATCAACAAGCATTCCTTTTCAAGGGTCATATAATTTGTGTGTCATAACTACAGTTTTAATAGAAAAGAAAACATGGACAATAAATAAGTAAATATACATGGCAGTAGTTCAAAACTTTATTAACAGAACCAGAAAACAGACCCAGTATAGCTAAATCCCTATACTAAGTGAACCGTGCAATGTTCTCCCTGTGTGTTTTAGTTTATATTTTACAGATTGCAATTTCTTTGTGCAAGATTTCAACATTATTTCATTCTAGTTACTTCACGGAAGCCAAGAGAAGATGAGAAGGATGGACAGGCATATAAATTTGTGTCCCGATCAGAGATGGAAGCAGATATTAAAGCTGGAAAGTATCTGGAGCATGGGGAATATGAAGGAAACCTCTATGGAACTAAGATTGACTCTATTCTCGAAGTTGTCCAAACTGGACGGACTTGCATTTTGGATGTCAATCCACAAGTGAGTTGAATAAATTCCAAAGCTGTTGTTAATTTTATTTTCCTAGGGAGTTTTTGTCTGTGTGTGTAGGGTATGGGAAATGTTTTTTATCAAGGTAGAAATGTGGCTTTTTCTGAATTACATTATGAGACCATAGCTAGATACGTAAGTAAATGTCAGACAACTAAGACTTGCATAAAACCATGGGATTGAACCTGCAGAAGTATAGTATTTACTTGATCAAGTAACATCAAAAGCTTAATCTTGGGAAATGTTATACATAAAACTCAGGGCTACAAGATTAAAACACGACTAAGTCATTCCCTTTTACTTTTCCTGACACATGAAAAGAAAACGTTCATTTCACTCTCATTACTGTTCTTTGCTCATCTCTTCCCATCTTTTACACTCAGGCCAACTTCACTTTTCTACTCAGAAATAGGTAATAATTTGGTACATACCTTCTTAGTCATTTCAGTATGCCTTAAGTATGTATATGTGTATGTATATGTGTATAACAAAAGTTTCTATTTTTGTTGCTTTTAACATGGATGAAACAGTTTTACGTAGAATTTTGAGCTTTTATTGATCAACTTTGACAATTTCTTACATGAGAATAACATTCTGATTAACTCTCTCGCCTACACCCTCTCCTCTTTCCCTCCCATCCCCATCAGCTTTCCACCCTCTATTCTTACCTGTGCTAGCATTCCCACATTCATGACTTTTAGTTTCATTTTATAATTCCTTTAGTTTAACCATGACCATCTGTGTGAACATTAGATTAGAACTATTCACTAGAGCCGAGTAGGAGCAAAGTTAAAGGCAATGACTCCCCTTCTCCCTGAATCTGTCTATCAGTAGCAGATAGTTTAAGAGGGAGGCATGAGATCCTGAGCCCTCCCACCACCCTCGCCTGACTGTTAATGAGCCCATTCTTGAGCAGACCCAGCCAGGCCATCCACAGCTATTTGTGATTTCATGATTGCAGTCACTGTCTTGCTCAGAAGATGGCATTTCAAAGCCCTTCTCTCTATCATCTGATCCTTACGTTCTGCCCCTTCTTCTGAAGTGTTCCCCAAGTCTCAGAGGGGTTGATATATGAATCTCATTTAAGGCTAAACACTCATCAGTCACTTATTTTCAGCACCTTGTACATCTATGAGTCCACATTCACCACTGTTCACTAGAAAAGAGTTTTCTCTGATTAAGGCCAAGAATAGCATTTATCTGTTGGTATAATCATAAATCTTTAGAAGGTAACTTGATGGTGTGTTGATTTAGCTTTTTTAATTAGTGTTTCTTAAAATATTTTCATCATTTTCTGTGGCATTTTTTATTTGTAAGTGTTGCGCAATATTTTGTAGTATAAATGAATATTCAGTACTAAGAGAATTCTACAATTAACAGATTAGGTATCTGGATCACTAAATTATATACCTTCCTTTTAAGAGGAAAAAAGTAATAACACTTGATTTTACAACAAAGTAAATGGGTTGGCATTTTAGGGAAATACTGTGTAGAGGTGTGACGGGGCCACAGGCAGTAAATTATATCCTTAACGTTAGGAAAGAGATAATAGGCTTTGCTTTATGGACAGCACATTTCGGGTTCTAACATTATATAAATTGGTTTGTAATTCTTCTTTGCACAGGCACTGAAAGTTTTGAGGACATCTGAGTTCATGCCTTATGTGGTATTTATTGCTGCTCCAGAGCTCGAGACCTTGCGTGCCATGCACAAGGCTGTGGTGGATGCAGGAATCACCACCAAGCTTTTGACGGTAGGAGGCTCTTCCCAAGTTAACACTTTTTATTTTTATTTTCTTTTGAGAATGTTTAATCCCAAATAATCATACTTAGGAAGTTACTGCACTATGTAAAATACAACAGAATGAAAAGTGACTTACTAGATGGGTTTAGAATTTGAAACAATATTGCCCTTATGTGACACTCCCTTTAAAACATAACAAGTTTTCTTTTCTCAGATGAAAAGGGTCAGCATTGGAGTACACACACACACACACACACTAGCACACACACACACACACACGCTAGTGTGTGTGTGTGTGTGTGTGTGTGTGTGTGTGTGTGTGTGTGCTAGTGTTGCTCTTCCCATCCATATTCTTGTATATCCCTGGAACTTTGTTGCTTCCTTGTTTCTTGGCATAACTCATTTTCTCAGTCTTCTCAGCACTTTGTCTAAAGTAGTTTTTTTTTTACTTTTATTCATTTATTTTTATTTTTTATTTACTTTACATCCCAACGGTGTTTCCTCCCTCCTCTCTTCCCAGTCCCTCCCTCCAAAGTAGATCTTTTAAGTTTTTATGCCTATGTTTTCTTCTAAAGTACTTAGAAATGCAAATTTTCTATTTGTCCTTCATCTGCCTTTTCTACCAAAAATCGGGCCCTTCCTGTTTCACTGTTATCTGCTGATTCCCAAACTTTACAAATATTATTAGGATCCCAATTCATACTTGTAGAATTATATGTGAAGGTATAGTGGGAGTTTATGGAACGCTTTACTTGCTCATGCAAAATGCAACACTTAGATACTCCACTCCCTGTGTTGTTTCAGACCATCTAACAACACTTGATGGGATGCAGACAACAGTCTCACAGAATAGAGCTAAAGCCTACGGCTGTGTTTGGGCACCACTTAGATTCTCTGCCTTTCTAAGTGCTCTGAGTTGAACAGCCACCACAAGCTGGGATCTTGGATTTACATGGACTGTAAGATAACACAGTTTTGGAAAGTATTATATAGAAGTTAGCTGGAAATCAACCACCTGTAGTAATTCTTACGCTACCTTAGACTCACCCTAACAGTGGTAGGAATTTCATCCTAATGCCAGCAGAACAGAACATACACAACATTCATAAACCGTGGGAAGCTTGCAACGTGGACAGATAATGAAGGAATAACTTCTCCAGCACTGTGTGGGGTAGATTTTGAGAACTGCATCTGATTTCCAACAATTATCCAGCCCCTCACTTCTTAGTTCACTTTATCTCTGACCTCATCAATACATTTTACCATACAGACTTTCTTTTTTAACATTCACAGGACTCTGATTTGAAGAAAACAGTGGATGAAAGTGCACGAATTCAGAGAGCCTACAACCACTACTTTGATTTGATCATCATAAATGACAATCTAGACAAAGCCTTTGAGAAACTACAAACTGCCATTGAGAAACTGAGAATGGAGCCACAGTGGGTCCCAATTAGCTGGGTGTACTGATGATTCAATAAGGGTAACAGTTAAATAAAACTCTTAAAAAGTGACTCAACAAGTAACCCTTCTCCTGGGAGAACACATGCAGAGGTAGAAGGCATCTGCCACATCTGGGCATTTCTATTGTGCAGCTTGAAATAACAGTGCACTAGGTGGAATTTTCTATGATTGAGGTTGGGAAGGTGTACTACTATATAATTTCTCTTAATTTTTCTAACTTTTTACAGATGAAACCTTTCTATTCATGCCACATAAAGAAATGCGTTCAAGCATTTTGTACGTATTGATTTAGTACCTTACCTTTTTCATCAAAGGGATTTCCAGCTCATTCTCTCCAGCATTGGTCTCATATTGTCACTGTGATAATGAATACTTGAAATAGTTTTGTAAAGCTAACTTCTCTTAAGTGTTTAGTGAAGGGTCAATTATTCTTATTAGGAAAAAATAGTAGTTACTGACCTTGTTAATCAAACTTCTTACAGAAGCAGAATGTAAATAAGAGTGCTACAGCCAGTTCAGAACTATCTTAATCTGACATCAAGTCTTTTCAGTGCCACTCTTACTCCAGAGTATGGCTGCTCATTTGTACAGATAAATCGGCTTTCCCCTCTCATCTCTCTAGTGCGTACAATGAAGAGCAATAGCGTGCACTCTCTATGGGCTTATTCTTTTCATTTGTCACAGTGATGTGCTGATGCTGACTGATGTTGCATATTAGTTATGACGGGAGCTCGGGCTGAAAGCAAGGTCATGCCGACAGAGAGTGCCTTATCCTGCAAAACTTTACTCAACTTAGAGAACGTTTGCTTATTTTCAAATATAAAATTTCAAACTATTACTTCAGTCAGTTTTTTAAGTATATAGTCAGCAAAAATATGCCTCTGCAAATGTTTGTGATATTTAAAGATGTCTCTAAGCTACAAGCTGTTTGTTAATCATCAGATGTGATTTCCAAAACAGGAAGTGATCTGTTTAGGGTTGTGTTGTCTGCTCTGTTGAAAACCAAATCCATTGAACAGTTCACAGAATTTGGAAATGATTGCCACCTATTCCTGTTTACACACACCCATAACACCCTTATGTAACATATACTAAGTAATGTTGACCGCTCTTCAGATTTCTCTAGGAGCTACCCTTTCTTTGTTCCTAACGGTGAGGAGCCAAGCATTGCCGCAGCTCACCGACCTCCGCCTCACCCTTGGTCAGTCCCTCCTCCGGGATTCCTAAACACACAGATTTCACACAGGCATTTGTGTGTGCTGAATGCAACATGTGACTCAACTAGGCCAACCTTAGCTTATATTGCTGCTATTTCAGTCAGAATAGTCACACTTTAAAGGGTTTGGTGCTTAAATGTTGATGAGTGTCTTTGGTGACAGGCTCCAGACACGTGACTTCTGATTTTGGCTTTTTCCTCATCAAAGTTATATATCCAACTGTCCATATACAGATTTGTTATAGCTATACAGACATGCATACATAGGTACATATATATATATGGTAGTAAGCAATATTCATACATTATTTTAAATTATTTTCACAATAAAACACCTGTTGCCATATTGTTAATGTGGACTTTAAAATTTTTAATTTTAGAATTTCATAGCCAAAATATAATTTTTGGGAAAGGGACAGGAAATTGTTAACAAAATGGATCGTACACACTCAGTGACTTTTAAAACCACATGTATTTGCATTTGTATTCATGATTCTCAAAGCAACATGAGTCAAAGCACAGTATTTACATGACACCTTATGACTTAATGTTTCAACACACTGTAATGTAAGCTTGGAGATAAATTTCAATTCTGCACTCTCAGGAAATGTACTGTATTCTTCAGTGTACCTTCATGTTATTCATGAAGCATTTTAAAGCAGCTTTGGGAAAATTACACTGGCAGAGCAGTCAATCCATGGAGTATTTCTACCATCTCGGTACAGTGGAAACAATAGTCACATATATTTATATCCTTCTCGTGCGATATAAAAATAGATACTGTCTGGAGTATCAGCTGTACTTAACATGTTTCTGTTATCAATGGTACTCATGACTGATGACATAATCACATTAGATTTCTCCTAATGATAGTTTAGTTCATTATAATGTAGATGCCAATATTAACAAAATACAACTGTTTCTCAGTGAGGCATCACTGTTGAATCTCAAGTCCCTACCTGAGCCTGTAGGAACCATCAGGCCTCACACAAGTATTCTTCCTAGGAAATATGATCAAGGAAATGTATACTGCTCTCAAGAAAGGGTCTAACATAACAGACTTATTTATAATAGCTTTCCTGAAGAGAAAAGGGCTTAGAGTGTTGTTCACTAATTGGTAATAGGCAAAATATACACATATACATGTGCTTTGGGAAGACATGTGTATTCCCAGTAAATGTCCGCATTCAGGGTGTGGTTATTCTTTACAATCAATGGTTATATGTCCTTCTTCATTTTCAAGTGTGCAAATGCCTGTAGAAATGATGTCTCTGAACAAATCATCCTTTGCTAATGGAATATATTTATTGGTCTACAGTAGAATTTTCACCTTCATTACTACTGTACTTTTATTGTGCAGTCTCCATTTCTGTTTCTTAGATAATATAGGCTGTCAAATACAGCAGAAGTGTGTATTTTGGCTGACTTGATACAATTGCTGACCATAGCTTTCTGAAATATAAATCGTCATAATCCAAATAGAACTAAACCCTAGATTCTAGAGTCTAGTAAAGTAATTTACAATAAACTATAAGAAGTTTCTTTTAAGATGAGAAACTGGTTATTAAATCATATTTAGAAAATAGCTCATTAGCAGTAAAATCCAGTAATAGGACATTGATTTTGGCTAGGTACTATTCTGGCCAAAAAGATGATTATGCCAGGCCTAGTAGTACAAGCACTTAGGAGGCTAAAGCAGGAAGATTTCAAGTTGGAATCCAGCCTGAGTGGCTAACAAGACCTTCTTCAAAAACAGAGCAAAACAACGACAACAAAAATCCCAAAGAAAGCAAAACAAGGGCCCAGTGCTATAACTGGTAGAGTGTGTGCCTAATGTGTGAGACCCCCAACAACCCAAGAAATGATCTTCACAGATTGACTAAAACAGTACTTATTTTTGTGCATAAGAAGTATCATGATTCAGTGATTGAAGCTGATTTTCAAGATCACAGAATTAGCTATAATTATTTTAAATGGGTAAATTCAAATTGTAAAAATCATGAAAACATTAAAAAAGAAAAGAAAAAATCTACTTATTTTTATGCCTACCGAAACAGTCCTCCATTATACAGAATTACAGAGTGGAGCACCCTACCTCCATAATAACTAATCTTTACACTAAATAAAAGGCAATCCTGAAGTTTTCTGTACATAAAGAGTTCATTTTTAAAAACATGTACATACATATATCCATATACACACTCAAAGCTATGTGTATAAGATGTAACAATCTACCAAACTTCATGAATAATAAAGCTAAATATATTCACCCACATGGTACAACTAATGTTCTAAGATCTTTAATTACTTTCAGCTTTCTAGACATTCTGAGCCTCCTTGAGATTCTCTTAGAAGAAGGCTTTGGCTCCACCGTAGAGCTGACCCTTCCAGAAGATTTTATTGGGGAAACTGAGCTCAGAAAAGTGTTATTATTAGAATTTTGTTTTGTTAAGAAAGAAAAAAAAAATTTCTGCATGGAGGCCTCTTGGGAAATATTTCCTTAAACTTTCCAGTGAAATTATGCTGTGATTTAGACATAGAAATTACAGTGCCTGCCCCCCTCCTGTTTTAAGGGATATGCTATGAGAATTCTTATAACATCTGTAATGTATTTGGAGTTCTTGGGAGAAAATCAGTATTTTAAATAATGAGATTATTGTCTATAACTGAATATACAGAGATTTTTAAGAATACATTTGATTAATAATTCAGCATCATATTGGTCTTTTGTAAGTATATGTGGATATACCTGAAGATGATAATTCTCTAGTTTTTTAAGGTAAGGTTATTTTTAAATTGTATTTTGTTTTAGCTTTTAAAGTTATATTCTTTTTAAAATATTTCTCATATTTCATCTTGTTACTTTGTATCCTGGAGTGACTTTGGAGAAATGCAAAGAATCACACATCCTTAGTGAACTGAAAAGTGAGAAAATGATACTCTTTCTTTTGTAAGGTAAGCATGATTGACTGCACCACTTGGGCAGAAACACAAGATTGTTCTAAAAATAATCTCGTGTGATAAAAGTGAAAATAGTTGTACTTCTAATGACTAAGATCCTACTTCTGACCATGTGATTTTGATAACATTTAATCTCCCTTTACCTTCTACATGTTAAGTAGGGCTAAGGTAATACTTGTCTTCATCCTAAACTCTTAAGGAGTAACTGTGGTTGTGATGTGGTAAGCCTTTGAGACTATTAAATGTGTTCTCTTACCTGAGGTTGCTTCTCCTTCAGTTCCTGTAAAGTTGCCTCATTCTGAGGTGAAGTGGCAGATGGTGAGCTGTTCAGGAACACATCCCAGGGTTAAGAGAGCTCCATGATGTAGCTGAAGTCTGGAAGACAGTCTGGTCTGTCTTTTAGTGGTCCTAATCAGGAGTCCCATTAGAAACTTGTTCCAAGTCTCTTGCTGCTAAGCAGGCCATTCACTGATCAAACAAAACTGAAATGCTCTAGCATGCTTGCATCCGAATAGACTGATCGTAGCCCTCTAAAGCTACCCTTCTTTATCCTTGTGCCTAAAATTGACACTGCAGCCTGGTTCTTACCCATAGTGTGAAGCTTTATAGGCACCTACATCTTTATTAGAAAAAATACTTACAGCTGCTCCAATTAGTGTACCCCAAAATCCAAAACATACTTCTTTCACGTTTTAATTGTTTATTGGCTTGTGACTGGTAACATGGTGCTGTGTTAACAGACAGCCTCAGGGCACAGGTCAGAATGGCTATTGTTTTCCTACTTTGTTGTTTTTTAATCACACAAACTGAATTAAGACATTAATAGTTAAGGTGAATGGTGCTTATAATTTGGAACTTGACCATTTCTTATTTATAAAACTACTTTTTCAGTCTGCTGAAATAACTATTCTCACTTCTCCAGGGCGATGTCCTGGGACTTCAGCCCAGGTCCTTGCATATGCCAAGCATGTTCCACTACTGCGCAGTAGTCAGCTTCCGTTTCAGAAGCCAGAAATAATTGTTTTTATTGTAATTGAGCTAAAGGCAAACCATGAATAGGCAGTGTACATAAATGTGATAGGCTATCCTTCAAATCTGGATTCCCTCCTCTACAGGTGGCCTGAGAACTTGGAGGAAACTTAAAACTAGTAAGAGGAAAGAAAGAGCACAACATTGAAAACTGCAGATGAGGAGGGCAGGACTTAGAGGAAGAGCACTTTGCAAGCCTAGTGTACACACAGCCTTTGGCACATGCCAACATCCCGGGAACAAAACCCTTCTCAGCTGTATTAAGCCATAAGGCATTATCAATTAAGACATGGTTACATTTTATGCCAGAGAGCCGGTTAGTGATAACACTGCTAATAATCGTGGTCCAAGTGAGAAATACCTTAGTCTTTCAGGAAGAGCCAGTTTGATGCTGTCCTGTTACGGAATGTACAGGACTTCCCACTGAGGAATCACTGTGAGCACATCGAGATAAGTAGAGGAAAAGCTCTATATAAGATCATGCATCTGGCTCTGACTAATGCACAAAGGAAAACAACCTCAAACAAAAATTTACCAATGTATATAGGCCTTAGGCTTATACATTCCCTATATGTTGTCATTCTTAATTCTCTTTCAGTTCCTGGTCCCAGATTACAGATTACACTTTAAACACAGCTGGGTGGGCACAAGGAAGATTCACACAGCAAAGACACCAGTGTTGTTCTTTTGGTTGCTGGTTAACCAGGGCCGTCTTTCCCACTTGGCAGATATGCTTTCCCTGATAAAAGGACAGAGTCTTAGTGGCTTAATGATAGCTCTCACTCTGCACCACTCACATTAGCCCTCTTAGAGACATATACTCTGGAAGGGGAATGGGCCTGCCAGCTACTGGGTCTCAGTAAACAGTCTTGACAGTCCTAAGCTTCAGTTATGTGTGAGGAACAAGTTTCCCTGCTGTTTCTGACAAGCCTGGTTAGCACAGTGCTTTTCTTTCAGTTCCTGTGAAGGCAGTCCTCCCTTAGCTAAGTCCTGCTTTGGATAACTTAGTATCTACTAAGCAAGGTTATTAGTAAGTCCTTCATAGCATTAATGTTGTTACTCCATAGTTCCCCTACACCAGTAGCTCATACACATTGAACACAAAATGCAAATTTTGTTGTATGTCATCTTAAAAGAACTGATGATGGTTTCTGTTTCTTCCATAACTCTGATATTTTTTTCTTAAGTGATGCTTGCAGAAGAATGAGCAATAGTGTTATCTTAGTTATGATTGCTATTGCTGTGATGAATGCCATCACCAAAGCAACTTGGTGATGAAAGAGTTGATTTAACTTAAATTTCCACATCACAGCCCATCACCAAAGGAAGTCAGGATAAGAACTCAAACAGGACAGGAACCTGGAGGCAGGAACTGATGCAGAGGCCATGGAGGGGTGCTGCTTGCTCAGCCTCTTTTTTTTTTTTTTTTTTTTAAATAAAATCCAGGCCCACCAGCCCAGGGATGGTACCAGCCACAATGGGCTGGGTTCTCCCCCACCAATCAATAATTAAGAAAATGTCCTAACGGCTTGCCTATAGCCCATCTTCTGGAAGCATTTTCTTAATTGGGGCTCCCTCCTGTTTTTTTTTTTAGCCTGTGTCAGGTTGACATAAAATTAGCACAAGTGTTCAGCAAGTTATTTTGAGTTGTCAGAACCCACAAAAAGCATTTGATGAAATTTTAACACACACCCCAAGTTCATTTTTGCATACTTTTCCTCCTGTTGGGACCTAACAGAAACACATTCTTTTTTAAACCCCACCCTCTGAAGTGACCATAAGGACTTTTCAGTTGAAGACAACTAGCTGGCCCGTATTTCTAACAAAAAGGTTTTAAGATAACTAATTAAGCATCCCTGCTTTCTAAGTATCTGCATTACTAGTTTCTGCAAAGAGGAACATCACTGCTGTCCTTGTGTGCATTTATTTCCTGTAATACAGTAAGTGGATCAAAGACCTCAACATAAAACCAGACACACTAAATCTGTTAGAAGAAAGAGTGGGAAGAGCCTTGAACTCATTGACACAGGAGACAATTTTTTGAACAGAACACCAACAGCACAGGTTTTAAGATCAACGATCAATAAATGAACCTAATGAAACTGAAAACCTTCTGTAGAGCAAAGGACACTGTCGTCAGAACAAAACGACTGCCTGCAGATTGGGAAAGGATCTTCACCAACCCGACATCTGACAGTGTTAATATCAAGAATATAAAAACTGAAGAAGTTAAAGACCAACAAAAGTAATCCAATTAAAAAATGGGGTACAGAGCTAGGCAGAGAATTTTCAACAGAGGAATATTGAATGGCAGAGAAACACTTAAATGTTCAATGTCCTTAGTCATCAGGAAATGCAAATCAAAACTACTCTGAGATTTCATCTTAGACCCATCAGAATAGCTAAGATTAAAAACTCAAGTGACAACATATGCTGGAGAGGATGTGGAGAAAGGGGGAACCCTCCTCCATTGCTGGTGGGAAAGTATACTTGTACAACCACTTTGGAAATCAATCTGGCGCTTTCTTAGACAATAGTGATACCTCAAGATCAGCTATACCACTCCTGGGTGTATACCCAAAAGATGCTCAAGTGTATAGCAAAGACACTTGCTCAATCATGCATACCGGCTTTATTCATAATAGCCAGAATCTGAAAACAACCCAGATGTCTCTCAATGGAGAAATGGATAAAGAAATTGTGGTACATTCACACAATGGAATACTACTCAGCAATTAAAAACAAGGAAATCATGAAATTTGCAGACAAATGGATGGAACTAGAAAAGATCCTGAGGTAACCCAGAAGCAGAAAGACACACATGGTATATACTCAACTTATAAGTGGATATTAGCCATTTAACAGGATAAACCTACTAAAATCTATAGTCCTAAAGAAGCAAAACAACAGGACCCTAGGAAAGATGCTTAATCCTCACTCAGAAGGGCAAACAGGATAGACATCGGAAGGAGAAGACAGGGAACAGCACAGGAGCCTTCCACAGTGGACCTTTGAAAGACTCTACCCAGTAGGTTATTGAAGCAGATGCTGCAACTTATAACCAAATTTTGGGCAGAGTGCAGGGAATCTTAAGGCAGATAGAAAGATCTGGAAAGGACAGGAGCTCCACAAGGAGACCAACAGAGCTAGAAATCTGGGCCTAAGGGGTCCTGCAGAGACTGATGAATCAACCAAGGGCCGTGCATTGAGAGGGCCTAGGATTCCCTACTCAGATGTAACCCATGGGCAGCACAGTCTCCATGTGGGTTTCCTAGTAAAGGGAACAGGCTCTGTTGCTGGCGTGAACTTGGTTGCCTGCTCTTTGATCACCTTCTCCTGGCCAGGTAGCCTTACTAGGTCACAGAGAAAGAGGTTCCGGACAATCATGATGAGACCTGATAGGCTAGGGTCAGATACTAGAAGAGGAGGACCTCCCCTGTTGGTAGACTTGGGGAGGGACATAAGGGGGGAAGAAAAAAGGAGGCCACAGCTGGGATACAAAGTGAACAAATTGTAATTAATAATAATAAAAGAAAAATGAAAAAATAAAGGACTGATTTTTCAGAAACTATAACTCTTAACAAATTTTCATGCCTCTACTTTACAGCAATATTCTTCTCTATGCTTTTGTTTCTATTCTGGCTGATGCACATTGGTGGCTTTTGTAGAAAAGGGCTTCAGAGTTGAGAAGATTCAGGATCAAGAAACAAAGACACTGTTTAGACACCATGAATCACTATGGCCACTTGCTGTCTGTCCAGGAAAGAGAAACCACGTATTTCATCAAGCACTTGTGACCTGCATTTTATACTGGGCCTGCAGGAAAAAAGCAGGAAGTCAACAAAATGTGGCTTTGTCAACAGGCAGCCTTTCCAGAAGGGCCCTTTGCAGCTCTCCCATGCTGATTTCTAGGATTCCATAGCTCACATTTAGGAACATGGTACTTCAGAGTCTTTCTGATGTCTCCAGAAGAGTGCCCGCGTGTTCATATATGCACATAGAAGCTAGAGATACCTTCCTCTGTTGCTTTCCAGGTTTGTTTGTTTTTTCTAGACAGGTTTCCTGACTGGAACTGAAGCCCTCTGATTGGCTAGTCTGGCAAGCCAGCAAGCCCAGACATCCTCCTGTCTCTGCCTTCCAGTGCTAGTAGTACAGATGTAAACATAATGCCTGCCATTCTCTGTGGTTGCTAGAGGTGCAAGCTCACACTTTCATACTTGCACAGTGAGCACTTCCTCACTGAATGGTCTCTGCTGCCCCTTTTATATTTGTTTGTTTCATAAAGAATTTACCCACTGAACAGTCTCTCCCAGTCACTTTTATGGTCACTATCTTAAAATGACCCATCTTGAGGACTAGAGAGATGGCTTAGTGGTTAAGAGCAATGTCAGCTCTTCCAAAGGATCTAGGTTCAATTCTCAGCACCCATATGACAGCTCACAAGCCTGTGATGCTCAATTCCAAGAGATTTGACACCTTCACACTTATGCACATAAAATGAAAAAAAAAATTTAATGACCCATCTTATTTTCAGGGTGGTTTTTTTTTTCTTAATTAGAAGGATAATAGGAAATTCTAAGCAGAGTGCAAAGGTGAAGAGGTGCACTTTCTGTCTTCTGTGCCAGGCTCAAAGTCCCTCAACTGTGGTAAGCCATTGCTGGCTTCTCAACTCCATGCATTCCCACCCACACTTGGTTTTTCCACCTGGAGATTCATAAATATTGTGTTTACAGCCTCCTCTTCGCAGCCAATGCCAGAAAGAGACAAGGCACCACCAACTTAACACAAGTACACGTGTTTGTATTTTCCGTCTTCATTTCCAGTCAGTTTATTTCTGAGCAGTGCTGCTGGTGTGTAACTTTAAAACCCCTGAAAGGGGCAGCTGCATAATGTTGAATCTCATTCTTAATAGACATTATTTATTTTATCTTTGTTACTCTTCCTTATAATCTGAGGGGGCCACGTGGGTGAAGTGAAGGTTAAACCTACAGGCTAATATGCATCTTGCTGCCGCCGCCGCCGCTGCCACCACCACCATTGCCCAGGGGCATCTGGTCTGATCAACAGCAACAGATATTGTCAGTGAAATCCGGAGGCTTGGGGAGATTGTCCAAGCCTGCTGCTGCAGAATGGCATCAAAACTGATTAAACAGCCAACTGTACACAGTTCGGAATTACCTTTGATAGAAATTGCAACGTGTCAAATTCCCAGGACTCACTAGAATTGCTGCAGACATAGTACGTTCATCAAAGCATAACAAAGTCAAATAAGAGGGATATATCTAAATCCCCATGTTGAGGTGAGTGCCATTAGATTTCTTAATAATTGTTTCATATACTTAAGTGGCATTTATAGTTTCCCAGTCATTAATGTATAACTTGTGAAAGTGGTGAAGAAAAAATAGCTATCCTTAGCATCCACACCTTAAGATGAATTTTGAAGTAAAGTTTCGGGCTCTTCTGGTTTTGTGTATCAGAAGTGAATGGAGCAGAGCACATGATTCTTTTCTAGTAACTCAGTGTTGAAATCTGCCAAAGTTGCCGTGGTCCAGTGTGTATTAGCACAGTAGCGCTCTGATGAAAAGAAATCAGTGTTTGCAGGCATTCAGTCTCCGCGCTTACTGTGCTGTGGGATTCATTGACAGACTTGTAACCCGCTTGGGCCCCAAATCCCAAATATTTTCTCAATCTGAGAAGTACATACTCCTAGCCAAAATCATGTACTTCTGACTGACACTGACTTTATTCATGCTCATTGCTGAGAGTGCAGAGCCCACTTAGAGTGATGTAAAGAATTAGTGGGAAGATGCAAGAGTCCTTCAGCATGGTGGCTTTCACGGAAAACTGCATCCTCTCCAGGGCGATGTCAGCAGAAGCAAACAACCGCTGCACAATCCCAAACCTCTCTGTGTCTCTCAGAGGAGCCAGGGTGGGGTCTTCAAAATTACATGCTCGGTCATCAGACAGAGCGCGGAGCTGAAATGACAAATTTAAGAAAACTCACTCCTAAATGTAGCAGAAAAACCCCAAGCTAAATATCTTTTTAAGGAATTCTCCCATGTAGTACAAGAAGTGTTTCTTCATGCTAAGACCCTAGGCCTGATTTTCTCTTCCTTGACTGTTTTACTGCCTGTATCCCCACTCTGTTACACCCATATCCATTAGCCCAGTAAGTTACAGATCAGCATGTGCCTTCCCTATGCCATATATAAGGGTTTATCTGGCTCTCCTGATAATGTGTACATTTCACGGGATACAGTATGGTAATTCAATACATACATATAACCTATAGTTTGAAATCAGGGCAAGAAGAGTTTTTGTCTTTACACACCATTCTGTGTTGAGCTGTTTGCAGTCTTGTAGTTATTTTGAAATGCAGGTGGTTTAACTATTACTGCGTTAAAGAAGATCCAGTGGTGCCCCTCCTGTCCATCTTTTGAAGCCCATTACTGAACCTCATCCACCCTCCCCACTGTTGCCGGGTTCAGTGGGCATGCTTCCACTCGGCTTCTTGAAGAGACTCATTTAGTTATTTCCACAATGCATGAGAGAATTTGTCCTGTGTCTGGCCTGTTTCATTTAGTAGTGACCTCTAGCTCCAGCTATGTTGCTGCCAGTAAATAACAGGGCTTCCTTTCCTCCAAGTGACTAATATTCCACTATGCATATATTTGCATGTTCTTTGACCCTCATCCACTAAAGAGGATCTGGGTAATTTTCACATTTTAGCTGTGTGACAAGGCTCAACAAACACGGAGTGCACATCTATTTTTGTTCAATGATTTCATCTCCTTTAGATAGACCTGCTAGCTTTCAGCAGTTTCACCAATTTTTAGTTCCCAGAGGACCCTCCATTCTGTTTGCTATAATATCTGTACTAATTATATCCTCACTAATAGTGTGTAGGAGTTTTCCTTTTTCCATATCCTCTCTAGCATTTCTTCTATCTCATTATAGTCATTTCAATGAGGGTGACATGCTACTTAGCTGCAATATTGAGTTGTATTTCCATGCTGATCAGAGAGAGAGCATTTTTTTCATGTACTTGCTTGTCGTTTTTCTATGTCTTGAGAAGTATCCATTTAAGTTTTTAGCTCACTTTTTAGTTGGACTGGTGTTTTTGTTTTTAATGGTGTATGGTCTTTGGAATTTCTAGTATTTTCCAGATGAATCCCTTTTCAGAGGATTATTTGGAAACACTTTCTCATGATGTGCTGTATATTGAGATGTTATTGAGTTCAACTGGTTCTATTTCATTGAATTTTCATATGTGGGTCTGTAGTTTTCTTTTGTTGTCTCTGGGTATCCTGATGCTGCATTTGGTGGGGTTCTTTATTTAAACGTCTGTGTAATAATGGAAGTAGCATTGGAATTAGCTCTTGATTCACTGTTTTTGTAGGAAAGCCACCAAGTCCTAGACTAGATAGGAAATTCTATTGTTCTCGTAACATTATTGGCCTATTTTGATTTTATATTCCTCTTGATTCAGTTAGCTGAGTTCAACTTATTTGCTGTTGTACTTGTTGCAGTCATTCTTGTTTCTGTGGTGTTGGTAATGTCTTCTTTCATTTCTGGTTTTAAGTCTTTACCTAACTATCACCACCACTCCACACCCCCCCCACACACACACACAGAGCCCTCCCTGAGGCCAATTTGTTTTGACATTTTTTTTTCCTTTCAAAACACCAATTGATCTTTTGTGAGAATTTTTTTTCCCCTCTTGAGAAGGGGTCTCTCGCTATGTATCCCTAACTATCCTGGAACTTAGAATGCCTCTGCCCCAAAAGTGTTGGTATTAAAGGCATGTGCCACCCATATATATATATTAGTTTTGGTTTTCTGCTGTGATCCTTTTTCTATGGCCTTGAGTTACCACAGTCAGTTGTCTCTGGTTCTTCTGTCTGGTGTGTGTGTGTGTGTGTGTGTTTATTGTTGTAAACTTTCTGTGCTGTTTGCTGTGTTTTGGGCTTTGTTGTGCTCCTTTCCTGTGTCTAGGATTGCTCCAGTTACCACTTAGTCACTGGGAAAATGGATTTTTGTAATTTCTTGGGGTTTTTTAAAGCTTTTCTCTCTTATGATCTACAAAGATACATAATATTCATGCTTCCTTTGCTAAAAAAAAGGACTTCGGGGTAGTGTGCAGAAATACTGTGAGGTCATGAGTTAACTGGTAAAGTGACAAGGTAAGAGTGTTTTTGTGGATAGTTGGAATTACCAAAGAAGTAAAGATGAACATGATTGTGCTTTGTTTTTTACAAGAGAAATTACTAGAGTGTGTATCTTCCAGAGTAATAATGGTTTCCAAAGAGTACTTTTTCAAGAAATAAAATAAGCACGAAGTAACTCTTCAATAGCTTTGAATTATGGTGGCAACAGCTTTTTTCAGTTAGAAGTTCATATTTGGGCCCTTTGATTTAGTATAGTGCAAAAGTGAAAGTACAGAAGTTTTATTCAGTACTTCGATGCTCAAAATTACTCAGTGGTCAGTGAATTGTATTGTAACAATTCATTTGTAGTCATTGACTTTAAGGCCTTTATACAGAAATTAGCCCATGGGGTTGGAAAGATGGTTCAGCAGTTAATCACACTTTGATCTTGAAGAGCACCAGATTTGGGTCCCACATGATGGCTCCTGATACAAAGGATCTTAACCGCTGAGAGAATCAGGCATGCAACATGTAGAAAATCCACTCATCACAAAAAACTAGAGGGTTTACCCTTGAATTATGCCTGCGGAGCGCTGCTGCAGACCTTAGGACGATGAGAGTCTGTTGGAATTCTAAACTGAGCAGATGGAGGATGCAGCATGTGGTTCACATGCAGACTCGCAAGGCTACTGAAGAGGAGCACAGCATGCACTTCACCCCTGTACCACAGGGTGAAGAGTGTATCTCTCTATCAGCAGATGAGCTTAGAGCAGGGCGGGGCAGGAAGAGTGGGTTCTGAAGAACGTCTGGGGCCTTGATAAAAAACTTATACAAACTCCTCTGCTAGACAGTTGTTCCTAAAAGTTCACCCACAAAATAAGAGGATCTTATTTGTCCCTCAAAATCATTACACCTAAATGTCCAACAGTGCCTTGGCTTCATCAAGTCCTTTCCCCACTGCAAGAAACCTAAGCACCCTTTCGCTGGATTTGATTCACAGCCTCTGTGTAATCTGTCTTACACCCTTTCTTATTCTTGATGTGATGGCGTGTACTGTGTCTTGGCCAGAGTGGTTAGAATGTGGACAGCTGCTTATGCTTGATTTCTTTTTACAATAAATCAACACTTAAAATCTTCAAATTATTAAAAAAAAAAAAAAACAACACTGAAACTTATTTGTGGCCTACCATGCTCTAGTCTCAAGTGGTACATGTTCTAGAAAGATTGAGTTTTCTGTTGCTGCTGGTTAAGCTGCCTTGTAACTGTTATATGCAAGTGTTCAGATTCCGGATTTTTTTTTTTTTTTTTTTTTTGTCTAAATGTTGCAGCTCATAGTGGAAAAAGAAGGGAAGTCCCTGACTGTAACTGTACGTACCTCTGCTGTCATGTCTACAGTCTATTTGGCTATGGGAATGTTGGATCTATATTTGCACTTCTGCATCTGGTTGCTGAACTGATGTATTTATGAATATATAGTGGTTGCATTCTCTCTGTAGTTTTTTAATCTAAAGTCCACTTTTCCCAATGAGTATAACTCCTGTTTGCATCTGGTTTCTATTTGGATGTTTTGTTTCCAGCCTTTCGCATTGAATACACATACATCAGTAAATGGATCTCTGTGTCTGGGAGTGTAGTGGTAGGTTGACTGGTTGTGTTTTGGGTCAGGGTCTCATGTAGCCCAGACTTCCCTTAAGCTTTCTACCGAACTGAAGATGCTTCCACTTCCCAGTTTCTAGGGTTATAAGCATTCACCACCAGGCCATCTCTTTCTTACTGGTTTTTCCTCGTTTCTACTTTTTTTTTTTTAAATCCATTCAGCTGATCTGTCAATTGGTTAGAGAATTAAATTCATTTACATTCCAGGTCATTCATTATGTTGTATTTTTCTCGTTTTGTATGGTTTTTGTTCACCCATCACTTATTTTTATGATTTGGTAATCCCCTGTCATGCTGAGGTTTTAGTGTTATTTCTTCTGTGTATCTGTTTTGCTGTCGGATTTTTATATTCACATACTTTGATATTGGCAGCTGATCTTTCTAGTGTGGTGTCCACTCATTAGCATTTCTTATAGGAATGGTCCAGTGGTCATGAATTTCCTTGAATTCTGCTGGTGTGAGACCATCGTCGCCCTCTTCACTTGTAAAGGCTAAGGGTTCCCGGTGACAGTTACTTCTTTCTGTATTTACAGTGTACATTCTGCTGCCTCCTTACGTCCATGGAACTCTTGTGTGACTTGTTTCGCTTTTCCTTTTCTCTGATTCTTTTTAAGATTTATTTATTATTTATATAGTATTCTGCCTGCATGCCAGAAGAAGGCATCATATATCATTATAGATGGTTATGAGCCACCATGTGGTTGCTGGGAATTGAACTCAGAGCCTTTGGAAGAACAGTCAGTGCTCTTAACCTCTGAGCTGTCTCTCCAGCCCCTCTCTGATTCTTTGTCTTGTAATTTTCATGTGTTGACTATAATATGTCTTGGTGAGGACATACTATGCTTATTAGTTTAGTTGGGAAACTTTTCAGTTTCTTGGTATAGATGTCCATATCTTCAAAGATATGAGTAGTTTTCAGCTATCATCTCATGAAACAAGATTTTAAATGCCCCTCCCCCTTCTGCATCTGGAATTCCCACAGTGCAAATATTTCTGTCCAGATGTCTTGTAGCTTTTCCCCATCACCCACACCAGCTCCCTTGTCTTACTGCAGTAGTTGGAAGCATCATCCTTAACTTCTGCTACATCTCCTTGTGATGCTTCTAGCTCCTTGTGGGGCTTTGTGTGTGTTATTTCCTGGAAATTTTAGCTCTAGAATTTGAGTTTTTGTTATTTTTTAAAATTAAGATTTCTAACTCTGAATTTTTCATTTACATCCTGATTGCTTTTCTTTGCTTCTTAATATTATTTTATTTATATTCTCTTAGATCTCATTATGTTTGATTGGGATCATTATTGTGAACTCTCTTCAGACTTCCTTCTTGGATATTATTTGTATAGAACAGCCAGCCATTCTCCCTGGAGCTGGCTTGTTCTGTGTATCTTGTACACCTGTGGAACATCCAATATTTTGAGGCACTTCCTGTAGGACTTGGTTGTTTAAATGTCAGTTGGATAGATGCATGGGCTTTGGTTACACATGAGCTCAAAGGTGTAGTGCTATGTGATACCTTATTTAGTTCCCATCATCAGTGGCTCTGGCTACATCAGTAATCCTTGAGGTAGATGTAGGGCTTTGCAGTGAGCACAGACTTCAGAGAGTGTATTCAGCTGCTATGGACTCAGTATGAGATGCAGAAAAAGCTATCCCCAGGTCCATCCATGTAAACACAGATCACACCAAGAGTGGTAGGAGATGGCTCGGATCTGTAGCAACAATACACACAACTCTAGAGCCACGGGATGGAACCAGCTGCATTTCCCAGGTCTTGCCAGATGAATACCTGGGGTAACCATGGAGTTTAAGGTATTGAAACATAAAAGAACCCTTCCCTAGTCCCACGGGAATGATTAGACTTGCTGGGGCCGTGTAGCACTGGATAGCCACTTTTATGGAGGTGTGGGATCCAGATAGTACCTACTCCAGGACCCAAGAGATGAGCACAAGTTTTACCTAGTACCAACAGCCCTAACCCAAAGTCTGTGGACTGTGGGAGACAAGTTCCTTGGGTTATCCCAGTAATTCTGGTTTCCATGCCCAGTGGTACAGGGCACAGGGAGAATCCCCTATGTGCCACTGAGCTAATGTGAGTAGTGTGTAGGCTTGTCCTTTGGTGTCTGGGGCTACAAAGCTGGGGTGGAAATATACCTAGGTCATGAAAAGAGTAAGCAATGGAAAGGCCAAGACTTCTGGCATTGTTTGCCGTGAAGCTGGGGATTATAGATGTGATTCCAGTACAGGCTAGGATGCTCAGTGGTGCTCAGGCTTTTTGCATCAGCAGCTGGAGTTCTAAAACTGTAGACAGGAGAAAGTCCCTAGTTGCTACTGTGGGTGCTGTCACCTAGTACTTGGAGTCCTACTTGCTGGATTCCTGGAGTTGCAAGGCCTGACTGATAGCTTGGCCAGCTCCTGGTAGACAGGTGCATGTGAGGCTGGGGCTCTGGAGTGCAGTACAGCCCACAGCCTCTAGGTTGTAAGGTAAGGAAGACCCTGTCACCGTGCATATGGCTGCGGGACTTCCGAGCCTGAAGGGGCAGGATTCAACGGCACTGCCTTCCACCCAGTGTGGGCACGGGACTCAAGCCTTCTGACAAGATAGGAGCCCTGCTGAGTGGGAGGCTCCACTCAGGTGGCCACCTGTAGAGCGCTGTTTCTACAAGCCCGCTCTTCAGAGCGGACATGAAGCTGTAAGTGCTCTGGCTTCCTCAGTTAGAGTGACAGTCTTACAGGATGATGAGGTTTGCTGCCATTTTCCCTTCTCCTGCCCTAGGCAAGTTTATTGAAGGGTAGGGTGCATACAACAGGTACTGTCCTCATTGTGTAGAGTTCTGGTCACTTTTTGTTGACTTCCAGAGTTTTGCAAAATACAGTTTTTCCTTTGCTCTGTGGCTGGCACACATACACATACCACTACCATTTGGTGATCGTCTGGTGGTTTTGTTTATTAGTGTAAACAGCAATATTAGAATTTCTTGGATATTTCAAGGAACTCACGTAGATACTATCATTTCATTAATGAATAGTAGGAAACACATTTCATTAATTGTGTTTCCTACTCCAAGAACTGCTGACTTGGAATATTTTCTTGATTCCTTTACTGATTCAAATGTACCATCTTACCAGTTCACAGTGAATGGTCAGCATATTTGACCCTGCCCAAAACCCATCAGCATGACTCTTCAGAGGTACCTGGCTTTGGAAAAGGAGAGCAGGTAGAGTGGGTGTCCTCTTTTAAGTCAGTCCCTCTTAAGTACATAATCCTCCACTATTGCAAGAGCCTGGCTCTTTTCAAGATAACAGCAGGAAGTCAATAGACATTACCGCCATCACCTAAAGGCACCTAGAAAGATCTTCTTGTAAAGAAACATGCCTTGTCTTTGTTGAGCAGCATCCAAAGGCAAGCAAGTTCATCTGGAGGCAGCCAGTGAAAAGGCAGGAACTCCAAGGCTGGTTCCTGGCTGGTCATACAACAGCAGCCAAGGTCAGAACCAGAGTTGGCTGTAGTATGAGTTAATTACAGCCTGGCTCCCTTAGCACAACTTCCTCCTTTGTGTACTTCCTGAATGGCTCTAATTAGTCCCTAAATACTCAAGAAACAGACTGGAAGTGCTGAGCACTCAACTGCTGCAAGAGGGAACTGAGCTGTTTTGCTCCTCACATACAATTAGGACAATTGCATCATTTCTATAATCAAACTACACTAGCAACCATCACCCTCAGCTGGTCTGAGATATGCTGGCATGCTTCCAAGTAGTTGAGTATGCCCTGGGGTGTGGCATCTGTGGTCAGTTCTGATAGCATCTGGTCAACTCTGTGATTGATACCTAGTGGTCTTGGCTTCTGTCACCTCCTCCACACAGAACAACATTCAAGACAACCCATATGGTTTGCTATTCCCAGCGGACATAGAGAACACAGGCAAGGCCTATCTAGGCAATCTGTGCATTGCCAGCTTAGCTTAGCAGTGAGCCCTGGCCCTACACCAGACCCTAAAATAAGTGACCCAGGGATGCCTTCCCCAATGCGCCTGTATGAGAGAAGTTGCCTCTGGGCAATCTAGGGCAGCTGTTGCTGGTTCCTCTGCTAACTGCCCTCTCTGTAACTTGAGGACTTAGCTCCGCTCTGAGGCTAAACGCATTACTAATTGCTTGCTCTTAGCGTGACATTTCCAGAGAGCACCAAGCTACTGATGGAGGAAGCTGGCTACTTCAGACACACACGCACGTACACACACAAAAGCAGCTTCAAATCATTCCACATGACTGCAGTGACCAATAAAAAAAACAGGTTGTCGGGCCTAGCAGTACTGAGCTATGGCCAAAAGTCTCCAAAGTAGGAAAAGTACGTGATTTGGAGGCTGCCGACCAAGTTGTACCCATGTGTTAATGGTGACAGCTGCTTGTACTATCTTGAGCTAAGAAACTAAAGTGTTTTACTAGCTTGATAGCACCTATCCCTCATCATCCTCGTCCCTTTCCACCCCACCATCCCATCCAAAGGTTCCTTACCAAGTGGCAGAGCGTAGGAATAACATGGAGTTTACAGCAAGTCCCCAGGAGAACTGTGGCATTATCTGGCATTTCTGTAGAAGACATACATTGTGGTCAGGGTCACTGTCAAAAACAAGTTCTTGGAAGCCAGACATGGTGATGCATATTTGTAATCTTATCATTTGGGAGGTTAGAAGGGCCAGCCTGAGCTATGCAGTGAGCCCTTGTGTTATAAGGAAAAGAACATTGCAGCCAGCCCTATGTGGTACCCAATTTATATTTCATTACCTTCTTACTATCAGTTAGAGAAAGTAAATGTGTGGCCAGGCCAGCTATGGTGGCACCCCTTAATCCCAGCACTTGGCAGGCAGAAATAGGGAATCTCAGTGGGTTCTAGGTCAGCCAGAGCTACACAGACTGTCTCAAAAACCAGTGTAGTAACATTTGAAGGCAGTTCTGGTTCTCTGTGGGATCTCCCTGGGAATCAAGTCACTAGAGGATGTTCTCTGACATTGAATTTGTTACTCAGAAAGAAGGGCATGGACTCTATGAAAGGATAATTGGCTCCAAAAAGCTATGATGGAGTGGTTAAGCCCTTCCAGGTAACCAGGCTGGAGCTTCAGTTTTGTTTCTGGTTTTCTGGAACATATTCTTGCTTTGTAACCCAGAATAGCCTTGAATTTTCAATTATCCTCCTCCTTCCAAGTAGTGGGATTTACAGGGATGGGTGATAACAGCCAAAAGACTCTGGGAGTACCTCTCAGAGCCTGTTTGTTCTGTTCGTTTTTGACACACTAGAGGGTACTTAGGGGCACACGTCAAGGCGCTGCACAGACATGAAGGGCTCCACCGTGTCAGTCCTTTTAGGAGAGAAAACTTTGAGAGGACTAATCAAGGACACAGCAAAGCTGGGGCAGAACTGTGAGGCTGGCGCTAAACCAGAGGCCTCGCCAGCTCCCCACCTGCCGAACGAAATCCAAATCAGTGCCGTTCACGCTTCTGCTAAATACCTCCCAGTACAAACAGTTCCTAAAATGACCCTGACCCCAAGGGATGCTCGGTCACCAAGCACAGTGACTTCTCATGAACTCATGACTGCCTGTATCTGTTATGTGTATTAACAATGACATGTCACTGAGAGGGCAAAAGGACACACGGGAAGGGGCAGCCGTGTAGGTGATCCCACCAGAGAACCACAACACAACCTATCAATGCAGTCATACACCTGCCTCTGACAATGCTCAGTTTCCTCCGTTCCCAAGAAGCCCTCACACCACTCCAAGAAGATGATAGAAAGTACAGGGCTGAGAAGGGAATGTTGTATCACCAAGCACTGCCACACCCACGTTTCCACCCCTTCACCTTCCACAGTACCTCTTCCCTTATACATCCCTCATCCCTAGAAATGCTTACCCAGACCTGTGAGCACAGCATAAAGCCAGCTCTCACCCTCACGTATGCTCTAGGCCAGACATGCTCTGCCCTCCCCTAACTGCCTGAAAGACAGTGTAAGGCTGCCCAGTTAGTCTGAAATAAAGCGTTCTGTTACAGTTGAGGGTCTATGGTGAGAGCAGGGTTTGCTTACAGTCACACATGCAGAGGAAGCTTTCAAGCAGAGGCTGCGGTATGGAAGTAGCTAAGCAGTCAAACAATACTGTCAGGGCCCAAGAGGACCACTTTCTGTTCCAACACTTTCCCTAGATCTTAGAAGACCATGTTGTCTAAAAAGAGTTGACTAAGGAAGGGTCCATGGACTGGCTTCACCAGGATACTACCAAAGGAGCTTTAGCTCGGCCACAACACAGACGGAAAGGCCAGGGTTGAGATAGAAACTGGCTACGCCTAAAGCTTTCCCTGCATCCAACATCCAAACTGGAATAAGTGTTGTGTTAGAGCCCCCTGCGAAGCCACCTGTGCTCAGCTGTGGAGCTGTGTCTAGGTCAGAGAGACTGGGACTGCGGTGTAGTCCATGTCAGCCATGGGCTATTCTATAGAAATGCTTCAGCAGTGTAGGATATATGAGAAGGGTTCTTACAAGCTGACAAGAGTACGGCCTGTAGCCTGACATAAAGCCTGCACTCAGGCATGCTCACTGCTAACATTGGTCCAGTCTCTAGGTGGAGTTTCACAGAGCCCATGTCCTGTATCGTCCCAGGCAACCATTCAAAGCCTTTATCTGATTCAGAGAAAGACACAGAGTAGATCCATCAGCATATCAAGCTGAAACAGTCCTTCTCGTTCTTTTTTTTAAATACTGACGGTTCCCTGGGAACGAGCCACTGTAGGAGGAATCCAGTGCCTACTAGCTTGTGTTGGAGGGAAGTTGGGGCCTATGGGCATTTGACATAGCTACAGCTACTTCACAGAGGGAACCACCAGGCCTGCTGCGTGGTGGGCTGTGCTTGATGGTAAATCCACTTCCCCTGGGAAGCCGTTTTAAGAGCCATGCAGAAGTCCAGCCATAGCCTGCCTGGGCCTCGTGCATCTCACAGCAGATATCTGAGACTACCGTGGGATGGGCCAAGGTGTGCAGAGAGGGTCAGCACAAACCGCTGCCAGGGGAAAGTGCCCAGCACACCACACTGTCTGGACCCTGACGGGGATCAAAGGCTATATTCTGAAAGTGATTTCCAGTAGGGGGAGAAGGTAACCCTCCCGGAGTAGGACTGATACAACAAAGTGGAGGCCAGGGTCCTCCATTGGCCTTCCCCCTCTTATCCTCTGGACTGAAGAGGAGAGGCCTGTGCCAAACCTTCCTCAGCCGCCATCACTTCCACCTCACAGACGCACATACGGAAAGCAGCACCATTTCCCAGCCACGGCAGACACTGCTCTGCTCTCTTTTTGGTCTTGGTTTTATACCTGCTAGTGCGCTGACCAGGAAGTAGGCTGTTGCAAAGAGCTTCTGGTTGCTGATCTCATCCTTCGGGCCAGGATGCTCCCCCTGGACCCTGCACCCCACCAGCTGCAGAAAGCCTGTGAGGTCCTGCTGCTGACTGCCAGTCAACTCCTCCATTGCCAATGTAGTCTGTGAGGACCAGAGGCCACCAGCCATGTCATCACACTACAGGACAGAAAGGGAAGAAAGACAATGATGAAATACAACCCAACTGAGCCCCTGGCGCACCCCCACCTCCCAACACTCCATGCACTTCACCCTCTCCAGGTAAAGCAAGCACTGATCCCTCTTCTATACTGTGATACTACCGATGGGCCTAACTTTACTCCTAAGGACACAGTAAGGCAAGCGGGACCACGTACTAGCCTTCCACAAGGAAAGGGGAAGCATCATGCAGGAAATGTTGGACAGAAAGAACTTTTCAGATGATGGCAGGGTATTAAGTTTTACCAGGAACCAGGAACAAGTGACTCCTTATCAAACTGATGAATGGGACCTAAAAGCAACATCCCTTCCTGGTTCTCACAGTCTAAAAACAGCTTGCTAAACCATATATGTCCCCAGCCCTGGGGTGGGTTGGCACTACCATGAGCCAATTCTGAGCCCCTGGACCAGCTCCACTCCATAGGTCCCCTGTGCCCTCTCTGACACCTGCCAGAAGGCAGATGCGCTGCCAACGGGACTAGCCTGACATTTCCCTCTAGGAAGTAAACGAGTCATGGGATTCTGAGACATTTGTGTTCCTCCTAGGGTTAATCCCTGCATCCTCCAGAAGGCAAACTAGACCCTTTGGCAACTGTAGTTCTGTCCCTGCTTGATAGTCTCTTGCACGATCTCATTTCAAGCAGGAAGAGAATAGGAGAGTAAGCAGTATAGAAAGAAGAACAAAAAACAAAGTCAAAACGAAAAGAAAAATTTCAAAGCTTCAGCCTCATTAAGTACCAAAAAAAAAAAAAAAAAACCTAGGCTGATGGAGATTGAGCAGCTGGCATGTCCCTCAAAACCTGGCTGTTGCAAAACAAAGCAATAAACACTTGTCTCTGTTCTAAACGGGACAGGCTGACAGGTTCGGCCACACAGCCCCTTCGCTGCGTGCTGAGTGCATGTCTACCCGCAGTCCCAGAACGGGCCTTTTTTGAATGAATCCTTGCAGGTGTAATTACAGTAAGAGTCTCAAAGGAAGCGCACCCTGTATCCAAAAACGGCGATCCTTAATGAGTTTCGTGTCTAGAGAAGATCACACACACAGGGAAGACGAGGCAGAGATAGGTAAGTGATGCAGCAGGGGCCACAGAAACGGCAGGCAACAAGGATTCCTCCCCAGAGCTTTCAGAGGGGTATGACCCTGCTGCCACGGTCAGTTCTCGATTCAGCCATCCAGATCCGTCCGAGAATAAATGTCTGATATTTTTAAGTACCAAGAGCTATTTGTTAGAGCTCTAAGAAAATCACTCATCCCTCTTTCATGAGGTCAACTTCAAGTTTTAGGGTTAAAAGGATGTGGTACTTAATTTTAAATTGTCCCAAAGCCTTCCTGAGGGGCCTAGCCTGTGTGCATTTCAGAGCAACCCTAAGCCCTACCCCCACCTCACCACTTGTTCCAGGGCCATGAGCAGCTCCTCATCAAACAGGACTGTCTGCAGGAGGCGGAAGAGCGCCCTCTGCTGCTGTTCAGGTAACACCGCAAAGGGGCGGAAGCTCCTCTCTAGGTGCATGTTTGCTGTGGAAACAGAACAGATGCTGGGTCAGGCCTAGCTTACAACCTGACTCTCAGTCACCAGCTCCTTCCGAACGACTCCACCTTCAGAACCGCCCGTGGGGCTTGGAGATACCTGAGTGAGTCTCAACAACCAGGAAACTTCGGGTAAAGGAAAGGCGGACACGGAAGCCTATGTTAACATCCCAAGCCTCCTGCTTCTCTAAGCTTGACCAGAAGCCACGTAGGCGCTTTACTGGCATGGTTTCTGCAGAAGTGCATTCTCAAAGCTGAATCACTAAGCAAAAGCCATACTGGTCTCCAAATATGTCTTTCCTGGCACTGTCTGGAAATGCTTTTGTTTTCAGTGCATGTTCAAAGGGCCAGCTCAGCATTTAAGGCAAACATGGCTTCCACTCTCTTCCCTGGTGCCTTTCACTTCTATTCAAGATAAGATCAGAGTGCACTTTGCTATGCTGCTCACATCCTCATCGGGGCCCTGGGGCCCTTTCTCCTGAGATCCTCTTTTCTTTCCTAAAGACAGTCAGAAGTTCCTAGTAAAGTAAGCCAAAAAAGACGGGCTAAGGCGGTGCTTTTCCACCAAGGGCTTCATGCTGGTACTAAACACCACCTTGCTGAAAGCCCTACAGGTTGGACACAGAACTCCTGAGCCACATCTTCAAAAAAACAAAACAAAAACAAACAAACAAAAAAACATGGAATATAGTTCAGTCTTTACTAGCCCCTGTTCGAAGAGTTGTCCTGGTTAGCCTATGGGCTCAAAGACCATCCCAGACCTAAGATATACCTGCCCCCATCCCCAGCTGCCCAGCGAACTCCAGCCAACGAGGATGGCTGACTCGGCTTGGAGCACTGGGAAAATAGACGTGGCCTCACACTCTTCTACAGCACAATTCCAGCTGCAGCCACACCATAACTTGCAAGTAGAGGCCCCAAGTTTAGTTAACTCTTGTCCCTAGAAAGATCTACCTTAACCCTAGGTCTCCATCACCCTGTCCTCCAATGCTGACCTTTTCCGCCAGGAACAGCATCCTCTGGGTAGGCATTTGCTGAAGCCCAGGGAGGAATCTCTCTTCTTGCTTTGCAAGGCAGAGCACATCGAGGCAGCTCTGGCTCCTCCTAAGCTCTAACCCCATCACAAGCTTCTCCTTTTCCTCACTCAGTTTCTCCTACCGCACACTGCTGTCCTGCACCCAGCAAGCAAGCCAACCCCAAAGCAGCAAGCTCTAGGGAGCAGAGAGAATTGCTGTAGGTGGTTTGGGGGTACAGCCCCTCCACCACATGGGTGAGGGGCCTCCATGGCTTTCACCATGCTGACAAACAGCAGCCTGCCATGCAGTGAGCCTGGAATGCGACGAAGCTGATACAGATCCTGGGAGCTCCAGCTCTGCTCACTACTGGCCATTCTCAATAGTCAGTTAGATTCTGTGGGTACAGGGAAAGAAAACCGCCACAGCCTTGGCCAGCACACTCCTTGACCTTCTACCCTGACCCACCTAGGGTCTCCATTTTTTCCAAAACACAGCACCGGAGATTTGGCCCTCTCTAAGATCCAAGGGGATCTTGAAGGCCGCATCCCCTCTTGGGAGAGAGGGTCCACCTCTCCATCTGGCCATAACCACAAGCAATACCTCGTTTTACCTTGTTTTAAGACATGCAGTGACCCATCCTGCAGAGAGCGCCCTTGGACCCCGTCCAGCATGTCCAGGAACGCGAACTCTCTGTACGCCTGGGGGTCTAAGTAGACAGAGTCAGCTTTCCTCTCGTGCTCGAAGCCACCGTGTTTCCCTTGGAGGAGGCAGAATTCTGTGGTGGGGAGAAAGCCCAAGCCAGGCACGGGTCAGCACGGCTCACACACATCAAACACTCATCTGCCCATCTCAGCCTGGCTAGAAGAGCCACAAAAAGGCTTTTGCTTCTTTACATCCCCCCCTTTATTTGGGAGGGGGACTGAGCCTGGTGATTTGAATGAGAAATATGTCCCATGGGCTCATCGTGTGTGTGTTTGATCGCCAGTTGGCAGCACAGTCCTGCTGGAGGAAGCACATCCCTGGGGGTGGGCTCTGAGGTACAGCCTTGTGCTGCTATCATCCAACAGTATTAATCGCAGTCTCCTGCTCCCCCTGGCACGCCTCTGCCCCTCCACTGTAGACTCTTCTCTCCCTGGAACTGCAAACCAGATTAAACTCTCTCTTCCTTGACTTGCCTTTGGTCATGATGTTTTGTCACAGCAACAGAAAAATAACTGTTAAAGAGTCTTACTTTGTAGCTCAGGCTGACCTCTAACCCCAGATCCACCTGCCTCAGCACCGCCCCCCCACCACCACCACCAAGTGCTAGGATTACAGATATGTGCCACCATGTCTGTTCACCTGAGGACTTTCATGAAGCACAGAGTGGCTGACAGATTTGTCCTGTATTACAGCAAGCTTATGAGGGCCTGTCAGTTCCTTCTGCGTCCTTGTCCTCTGAGATTAGGGGGCTCCTTTTGTTGAGCACAGAGAAAACAGCGCCCCCTGAGGGTGTGCTACCCCTTTGGAAGTGGGTCAGAAAAGCCTAGATTTTGTCCTCCACCATTTCCTCAAATTCCCACTGTAAAATATTTTGGAGTTTCATGTCCTAATGTCCTCATGGTGAAAGAGAAGCAGAGATGGATTCCTGGCTGAAGTGGAGCCCAAGCAGTCACCTCACAGCAGTTCTCTGGGCCCGGAGCTAGACACCCTAGACAAGAGGAGCAGTGGGGCACAGGGCTCAGGGATGGCAGGGGCATTTCCAGACAATGGATTACATTTGGGAGAGCAGGTGACAGTGGTAGAGGTAGAGAACTTGATGGGCAAAGCTCATCCTGGGAACAGAGGCAAGCTGGGAGAGTACTTGGCCAGACAGAATGATTCCATTGCAGCTTAGCAGCCCCACTATTAACTGCAGTGCCTCACAGAACAACACAGAGGGCTCCCGGACATGACGTGTGAGAAGCAGAGAGGTGCTTCGGTCACACCACAGGCCCCCAGAGGGGCTTGGGGTTGCGGAGCAGGCTGAGGAAGCATCATTGCTGGGGGCGGGCACCACATGGAATCCACACTGGAGGGGAAGCTAACAGCCACAGCACAAGAGCAAGCTCAGGTTCAAAACGACAAAGGGTGCCTCCAGTTACACCCGCGAGAGAGGCATAAGGAGGTGTCTCACGACTGCTGAGGAAACAGAAGGGTGAGGTTGACCTCTCAGGGATTCACAGGTTAACCCTGCCGTAGGCAGCAAACATGAGCAGGCATCTAAGGGGCCTTCCAGCTCCCCCGGGTGTGTTGTGGGACTGTTTCAGAAGGTTCCATTTAGAGAGTGACAGGAAACTCGGACGCATAAGAAAGAAGTGAGAAGTGGAATTGTTTAGTGGTTATGGACCCAGCCACAGCGCGCGAAGGGGGATGCTTCTAGAGGCAGACAGAGCTGCCTCTAAGACCAGGGCACGGGAAACAAACCAAAGACAGGGCTGAGGGAGACAGCAGAATTCAGAAAGCATAAAAGGAACAAGACCCTGGCAGAAACAGGCTACCCCAAATAAGCTGTAGGCAGGTTGGTGGGAAAAAGCTTTTTCCTGGCCTCCAGCCATCAAGGATCCTCCCAGAGTTTATGGTCATATCTTCACATGGGCCCCATTTGCATAGGGTCTTTGAGAAATGACACATATCCACAGAAGTTAGAAATAGATATATGCCAGAAATGAATTGATATGCCCACAAAGGAATAGTACTCATCCATGAAAAAGAAACCCATGCATGGACCTGGAGAACATTAAGCCCCAGACAAAGAAAGACAAACACTGTGTGATCGAATTCATTTGTAGAATCTGGAATAGTGAAACTCACTAAAGTAGAGAAAAACAGAGATCATCGGGGCCTGTGAGGTAAAGGAAACGGGAACACACTGGCTAAATAACCCAAAGTTCCAGTTCTGAGGAAGATTTGTCATCTAATATACCAAACTGTGACAAGTGTTAATAATACCGTTACCATGGAAACAAATGCAAGGGTCAAAAGTGAATGCTAGGGTTAAAACAGTGGAAATGGAAACCCTGGGAAATAAAAGGACTGCAGCTGAGTCAGATAAGAGAAAGGACCTGGCTCTGTGGAATGCAAGGTGTGGGTTCTTTGTACACTCAGTTATGTTATGTAAATGTTTTGTTTTAATCCCAAGGGTGGGATTTCAGTTGGGCCATGGTTTGTCCACAGCTATTAATTGTCTCATGCACGGTGTAGCTTTTGCCACATGAAGCACAGAGAGGGGCATGGTCCAGGACTCCGAGGGTATAAATATGAGGCTAAGAAAGAGAGGAGGAGGTGGTATGTGGTGTTGGCGTGTGGCAAAGAACAGTTTGAAGAAACCAGAGATGGACAGTGTGGCGGTTTGTTGCAGACAGATGGAGAGAAATGCTTCGGGGCGCAGCGGCATGGAGGAGCCTGCTGGCTGTGTCTGCGGTGGACAGAGATTGGGACAGAGCCCTAAAAGAACCCCTTGACCCTACACAGCCGGGAGAAGTGAAGGGGTGTGGGCCCTCTCTCCTCACTCTCTCCTCACAGTGTCTCCTCCATGACACTGTACCCCGAAGCGTTTCTCTCCATCTGTCAGCTCCAAACCACCACACCCTCCGTCACTGGTCACTCCAAACTGCTACACACACCCTGACTGGCACACCGCTGTTTCCCTTCCTCAGCTCCCAAATTTATATCCTCAGCGTCCTAGACCACACCCCTCTCTGTGCCGCACATGGAAGGCTGTTACCAGTTGGCAAAGCCACACCCTACATGAGACAATTAACAGGTATGGACAAACTATAGCCCAACTAAAATCCCACATGTGGGATTAAAACAAAAGCATATTTATGTAACATAACTGAGTTTACAAAGAAACCAAAACTTGCATTATACATAAATATGTCACTTTATTAACAAATATTCATAAAAACTTATTGAAAGCCCACAGCACCCCCGGACAGGCTTTGTTAAGTGAGCATGTGCTCACATGGTCTGTCTCTTGACTTAATTCACTCCCTCAAGACAATACTGACGGGACCGGAGAGTCGGCTCAGCAGTGAGAAGCACTGGCTGCTCTTCCACAGAACCTGGGTTTGGTTCCCAGCACCCACGTGATGATGCTCAACCATCCCTAACTCCAGCTCCAGGGCAACTGATTCTCTCTCCCCCGGCCTCCGAGGATACCAGGCACAGGTGTGGTGCAGAGAGGCCTGACATTCACACACAGAAATAAGATAATCTAAAAATTAAAACAGCAAAATAAGCCAAGAGAACTTGACAGCAGCAGCAACCCCTGGTTGATATCTGACCTACATGCTCGACAACAGATGAACAAATGTGGAAAACATGGCACATTTACATAAAGGAATGTTACTTAGCCATTGGACAAATCCTATCAGGTAGGAAAACATGGACGGACCCAGGAGATAGTGTCTGGGGAACAGAAGTCAGATACAGAAAGGCAAACAGCATGCTCCGATGCTCACATCAAGGCTAAAGGATGCTGTTCTCCCGGAAGGAACTCAGAACAGCCGCGCTGTTCTCTGGGAGTAAGGAAGGGATGGGCAGGGCAGACAGGCCTCTCAGACAGAGAGGAGGAAGTGAACTGGGTTGTGGTTACCAGGTCAGTGTAGACTTCAACAGCCTATGAAGTTATTGGAGGCTCTTCTCAAAGGAAATGGTAAGTGTGGGATGGTAAAGTGGCTCAATGGGTAAGGTGACTGCCACCAAGCCTAACAAGGCATGAGTTGCATCCCCAGGACCTACATGGCGGAAGGGGAAAACGGACTCCTACAGCTTATCCTCTGACCTCCCCATGCAGACTATGGCATGCACATGCGTGCACACACACAAACACAAAGAAATAAGTGTAATCATTTAGAAAGGTCTCAACTACAACTAATATAACCTAAATGTAGACACTCCCACCCCTGGCCAAAAAAAATGCCAATTATGTGAAGAGCTATCTGGGTGAATTAGTTTAGTTGTGGTAATCGCAGTGAATGTGCTATCATAATATTGTTTCCTTGGACACTGACGGTGTTTACCAGCTGAGCCTCAGCAAGGGGAAAGTAACTGTGACCCTTGAGTCAAATCCACCTGAAAGGCCCCCGGACCGTCTGCACCGGGCTGAACCATACAAGTGCACACGGACAGTGCATATCACACGCTGGCACTGGAAACAATCTGATCACCTTTAGGTGTTTCTGGGGCCAACAAACGGAAAAGGGAGGGGATAAGGAGGAGAAAGGAGGGAAGGAAGGATGGAAGGGGAAAAGGAGGAAGAGAAGAATCTAGAAGTGGTGTCTGGGTATGGAGGCCTAAGCCTGTGATTCCAGTATTTGGGGGTGGAGGCAGGAGGATGAGGAGTTAGTACAAGGCCATCCTTAGCAACGCAGCCAGTCCAATGCCAACCTGGGCTGCCTGAGATTTTCTCTCTCTCTTTCTTTTTTTTTAATGTACGGAGGATGTAGCCACCACCCCTGTGTTCTGAGTAGCCCAGATTTCTGCGGATTCCTGATCAGTTTCTTAAACTGCCACCTTCCCTTAATGTCACCTTAGGCAAATCATGCCCACCCCCCACATGCAGGCTTCTTTTTGGCCAAATGAGCAAGCCAGTGGAGGAGGCTCAATGTTTTGTCCCGCGCCTGTTGAGACCCTTGAATGTGTTCTAGCTGGGTGACATTAGAGACCTGCTTCCCATCTTTGCAGCGCAGGCTGTGGTATGTTGCATGCGCTTCGTGAGAGCCGGCATGGTCGCCCTCCCCGGAGGCCAGCTCCCCTTATACCCTTCACCACGATAAGCGGGAGAGGGGCAAACACACTGTAGTCTATCCTCGAGGGCAGAGGTCACACTTAGCAAGCGTGCAGTTTCAGTGGCCGCAGCTGCTCCTCTGCAGGCCTCAGCAACCGCACACCCAGGCCCTCATCCCTTGCCTCCACCTCACCACACACACTCCCTATGCCATTCCGGAAGCAAAGGACAGATTATTCATGTGCAACATTTCAGGAGAAACTTCTAGCAGGGAACTTCTTCTACAGACAAAGCCACAATACCATTATCCCACCCGGAAAGACCAACATTTTGTGATGTTACCTTTTTCCCATTCTTGTTCCCCCAAAAAGCAGTCATGTAGCATTCTCACTGGGAAGAGGAAAGGAGCCTTGAGCATCTAGAGCAGAGCCTCCCAGCCTTTCTAAGGCTGCGACCCTTTAATGCAGTTCCTCACGCTGTGGTGACCCCGGCCATAAAATTACTTCTGATGCTACTTCATGTAATGCTGCTACCGTTATGAATCGTAATGTAAATGTCTGTGTTTTCTGATGATCTTAGACCCTAAAGGGGGCTTGACCCACATGTTGAGAAGCGCTCATCTAGACTAAGCAAAAAGGAAGGAAGACAGCCCTTATCTTCTTCTACCTCTAGCAATGACACTCGTGACCCCCAGAGCAAGGTCAGGTTGCAGCGTGGGGCCTCATGCTGGTGGCAGCGGTGGGGTCACAATGAGGGTAATGTTAATGGCTAAGTCAGAGCAGTTGCGGAGTTACCACTGTCCAGGGTACTTCCAGGATGCCCTCAGCAACCTGGTCCTGCCATCCTGTCTGCTGTTTCCCCCAACAAGCCCTCTGGAACTGTGAACCCAAACACATCCTTTCCTCTCTTAGTTGTCATGACAACAGAAAAGGAACTCCATGGGGCCTTAACCTGGGGAAGACTCAACAGCTTTCCAGGAGTCTGGCTGATGAGCCCATGCTCCTCCCACACGTGAGGAGCAAAGAGCCGGAGGCGCATCCTCCCTCACCCAAATCCCCAGTGCCTCCCACTGCCCAGAGTCCAGATCCTTCGACACTCTCACACTGCTCTGTCACCCAGCCTCTCTCTTTCCACCAAGGCATGCCTCGTGAGGACTCACCAAACTGGCCGTCCTGTTTCACATACAGCTCCATGATGCCATAGGCGATGGTGGTGCCAGCGGGGATCTCCAGCACCACGTTGGTGTCCTTGAGGATGGTCCCGTCCTCCATCGCTGACACCTGAGGGCAAGAGCATGTACACGCTTGCATTCTCGCCTTCTTCTCTCACCCTTATCTCCAGCCTTCTAAGGATGCTGGGAAATATCCACAGAGCGAAGGAAGGAGGAGACAGCTGGCATTGGTGAGACACCAGGGCCTGGGGTAGGAAGCCATGCCACAGAGCTATGTTTTAGCAACAACCTACCATATTTTACCACTGTGGTCCCACAATCCTGTGATTAACAGAATCAAAAAACTTCCTGTCTCCTAGTACCCTCATGGGCACGTGCCATCAGCACGGAGCACCTGATGATTATAAATGACTATGCCTCTGGCTCATGTACACTAGGCCAGCTCTTCAACATGACATTTTTCAGTAGTTTATAGAGTTGTTTGTTTGTTTGTTTTTTTACAGGAAGGAAGGAAACCATAAACTGTGTGCCAAGTTAGGCTGGCAGTGGCCCCGTGAATCTCAGGCCCACTGCATCCACCAAGTATACTATGAAGCCCTGTAGACATCTAGGCCTGTATAAGTTAATCTGTGGTGTGACATCACCACCAACAAAATCACCTGGTGATATATAACTCGGAGCATATCTAAGTGACGTATGACTGCAGATAAGATAAATAAAATCGGTTTCCAACTCCTTCTCAGGTTTCAAGGAACAACTTTGAAATCCCAGTGAAAACTCCAACAGGATTGAAGCTGCACTAGAAAATACTGAGCTGTTCATACACCTGTGGATGGTACTCTGCACAGATAAAGCCGGGATGACAAGGCCATAGATGGATGGGCAGGGGAGGGGTATCAAGCAGGAAGGAGCCCAAAGAGTCCTTCCCGCAGTACCCAAGGGACAGGAAGCTGGAGATCTATTTGTTGCCCTGACACCACAGACAGACAACACAGAGCTCTGCCCCTGGTCCGATTTGCTTTGAATCGAGAAACAGCAGTAGCTGGCTTCTAGCTCACAGGCCAGGGCTTCAGCAGGTAGAGACCATGGGCTGAAAAGTCAGCAGGGCAAAGCTGAAGCCACCTTTGTCCAGTCCCCCTTCCCCCTATGATGCCCAGCCACCTCACCGGCCTACCCAGCAGCCCTAGCTCTAAACTTATAGACATGCCTCTCCCAGCCCACTGCCAAATACAGCCCTCCCAGGTCTTTTAGAAAAAGCCAGTGCTATCAAGAAAGGAAGGTACCAAGAACATTAAATGGGTCACACGGTCTGGGGAGAGCCAGACCTGAAACCTCTTTCCCTGTGCGTTGTAATAAATCTGAAGAAAGCCTGGAGCCCGCAGCTCCACGAGGAAGCCTCAAGTGTCTGGGAAGGCAGGTGGCTCACGGCATCTAAGTCCTGGATCCCACAGCGACTGAGGCCAGAGGCCTCATGACAAGAGCCAGGGAGGCCTTGTTCTCTAGAGGCAGCCTGAGCAGCACTTCTAACCCCCTAGAGGAGGAGTTCTGGCCGAGTTAGACCCGGCCAAGGGCCCGTGGGAAAGCCCCCGTGCTGGGACGCGGCACCTGCACCGTCTTGGTCTGGATCCCCACCATGCCTCCACACTTCTCCTCCGTCTGCACATGCTCAGAGATCACACACTTCCGCGTGGTCACGATCTTCTGCGTCAGCACGCACAGGACCTCGTGCTTCCGCTCTAGCACCTGCTGGAGCACTGGGCTGTCCAGGTTAACTGCTCTGAAAAAGGAAAATGGTCGTGAGTAACCGCGTGCCTCCAGCGAGACCTGAATCTCCCTCCTCTTGCGGCTGGAAGAGGGAACGGGGAACGGTAGATTTCATTGATTTCCTGGCGATGAGAGAGGAGGCGGGTTAGCGTCGACGGCTTCAGCCAAGCTCTCCTGAGGCCGCTCAGCCCCGCTGAGGGACAGGCTGGACACCTGGAGGAAGTGCCAAGGAATTATTCTCCAGTGAAGAACCCTGAAAAGCCGTGCTGCGGGACAGCTGCCACCCAGCCTCCTGGGCCGAGCTGGGGGCGGGTAGAAGGGTGGCAGACATCATGGCTAGAATCCCCCCCCCCAGCATGGGGTCGCTATGAGGAGAAACACAGTGGCTTCTCACAGGGCAGAGGTGCAGGTCAACTTTCCGGCTGTGGCGGGAGATCAGACAGGAACTGAGACAGGCATGTATACCCTCTCGCTGGGGTTTCTATCACAGAGACAGAAGCCATTTGGTACAGGCAGCCCCAGCCCGTCCAGCTGAGGCTGCATGGGTCCCCATCCTGAGCCGCTTCTAATTCTGTGTAACCTCAAGGTCAGGCTGCAGTTCCAGCTAACACTTGATGATGAGATACGCTCCCTGCAGGCTGACGCTGACACCATGGCTGCAGAAGGGCAGGGAAAGCACCAGATCCCGGCTGCAGTGAGCATGGGAAGAAAAGACTCATCCTGTGCTTCCAAGACACCCGAGGTTAGTCAGTCACCTGCAGGCTCAGCACCCGTCCCCCACGGTCCATCCTAGTACACTTAGGGGCCCCAGGGTTCTGGGAGCATCCCGGAAGTGGACGGGATAACTAGCCAGGGCAAAAACCAGCCCGTGATCCACACAGGAATAGAGACACAATGTGGCTTATCCACAACGTGGGACCAGGAAGTCACAGGAAGGATTAAGCTCCAACACATGCTACAGCATGACGGAACTTTAACCCTCATGCTGAGCAACATCAGCCACCATCACGGGTCACACGGTGTAAGACTCCATATTTAGGAATGATCTAGAACGGACAAATTCTCAGTGATAGTGAAGACTGCGGTGGAAGATGGGAAAATTGCTTAATGGCTATAGAGTCCAGTTTGAGGCGGCAGAAAATCCCAGAGATGGATCAAGATGGTGGCTACACAACACCGGGAATCCGGGAATGTACTTAGTGCCAACGAATCATACACTTAATGGCAGACTTGCAGATTTTATATTTTTTCCACGTTTAAAAAAAAAAAAAAAAAAAAGGAAGACATTCAGAACACAGTCAGTCTTCCACTAGCCACGGCAATGCAAAAGCACTGTAGTATGTGTGCGGGACAAAATGGACCATTCACAAAACTGTCGGCCTGAGGCACTAGGGGATGGCTCCCCCAGTGAAGCATCACTGACTGTGCTGGACCCCCAGCACCAATGTGACATGCCCACAGCAGTGCGCATCTCTAACCCCAGATCCGGAGAAGCGGAGCCAAGAGGACCCCTGGGGCTTGCTGGCTAGCCAGTTTCGCTAAGTCAGTGAGCTCCAAGTTCACTGAGAAGCTGCCTCCAAAGACACAACATGAAGTGATTGGGGAAGACGCCTGCTGCCCACCTCTGCTCTCCACGTCCATGCACACTCTCACGGTATGTGCGTGCGCACGCGCGCGCACAAACACACACACACACACACACACACACACACACACACGTTACCAAGGTAGACAGATAGATTATTAACTGTCAGGCAGGGCCTCCATTCCAGGAAGAAATCTGGACAGGGAGCTGAGTGCTGTCCCCTCACGGATCTGGAGTGAATTATGTCACCTTCACATGGTGGCTTTTTCACCGATGGCTGTTGGTAACGAAGCCCTCAGCATGGGCCGTTTGAGGGAGTAGTGAGCAGTCAGCTCATGCCACAGCAGGTGTGAGCCAGAAAACATTCCAGCCAGCTTCCTGCTGAGGTCTACAGAAGAGAGCCACTCTCTGTGCAGTTCCTGCAGTGGGCCGTTTAACTGGGTCAAGGGTCAATTCCTGTATCATTCACTTGCCTAAAAGCCTTCAAGGCCTCTGCCTCAGCTGCTCACCCAGGTCAACCCCCTGACCACGTGACTGCCTCCTTCCTATTCTGCTAACCTCACCTTTAAGCCTTTCTTCTAGGCTTCAAGAAGCCAGGAGATGCCAAGTCAAAGCCCTGGCACTTCATCCCTGCCTGCAGCATCTCAGATATGCTTTCACCTCCACAGGGAACTGAGCTCCATACACGTTGAAGGTGGTACTCTGTCACTATGGCACAGCTAAGATGGAGAGCAAACTGCACACGACTGTTTCTCCAGCTCATTCTTCTCTTTGTTCTTTGCCTGCACCTGCAGTCTAGAATAGAAACTCCATGGAGCTGGGGGCTGTGTCTACCATCCTCTGCCTGTCTCAGGCCTAGACCAGCACTCGGCACCCAGAACAGGCTCAGGGAACATTCTGGGAATAAATGAGTACCTACATTCTGTCTGTTTCTTCCTTGTCTATTTGCTTTAATGTACGAGCACTTTGTGTGTGTGCGTGTGTGCGTGTGTGTGTGTGTTTGTGTGTGTGTAAGACAAAAAGAAGGGGATAGAGAAAAGATGAGGAAGGGGTAAGGGGAGGGAGGGGAGAGAACATATTGAAGATGGAGAGGGAGAGGAGGATTCAGACGTTTGGTTTGGTGGACAGTGGACAGATGACACTCCCCTTTTGCAGATACTGCGTGGTCAACATGAAGTCTGGTCTTCTCGTGACTGAAGCAAGAGCTGGTAGAGGCATTTCCAGTCCCATCCCACATTTGCAGGACGATCATGCCTTCTTTTCCAAGGGCTAAGAGAAGTTCAACATTCCAGCCATGTCCACCTGAATGATGATGGAGTCTAGGTCGCTCTAGCATCCTATCAAGCTCAGTACATTGGCAGAAGAACTTACAGGAAGAAGTATGTCACCTACGCTGACCAGGTGCATGGGAAAGGCCAGCGGCACAGCTGTCCTGTGGACATTCACTGTCACTGGGCTAAAAATGGACCAAGTCCATGAGAAGATGCTTTTAAGCAGAAAGCCAGATTTTGCCAGGCATGGAAGGAAAAGGAGATGAACAGCTGAGAAGACATAGAAATGAAATCAACTTGTATAACTCATTAAACCGAAAAAGAAAGGGCTGGAGAGATTGCTCAGTCCTGAGGAGCACGGGTTGCTCTTCCAGAGGACCTGGGTTCAGTTCCCAGCAGCACCCACATGAAGGCTCACTACCACCTGAACCTCCAGTTCTGGAGAATTCAATGCTCGCTATTGGTCTCTGCAAGTGCCCGCACATGAACTCACACCGGCTCCCACACATATGAGCCGAAGTCATTTTCAAATATAAAGGGGACGATGCACTTCGAGGGGAATCTACGAGGCTCTGAGGCAGTGAAGAAGAAATAAGGACCTAAATAGCACTGGGTGAAAGGGCCAGTTGGGGAGCAAATGCCTGTAATTCAGACAGAGGAGGGTAAGGGAAGAGAGGGAGAAGGAAGAAGAGGGAAAGGAGAGGGGCGAGGGGAAACAAGGGAAGGGAAGAGGGGAGAACAGAAGAGGAGGAGGGGAGGGAGGAGAATAAAGAAGTTGGCAAAGTCTCCAGGGGCTCCTGGCCAGGTCAGGGGAGCAGTTATGCCCTCTGGGGTGGGTAACAGCAGCCTCCACGCTGCAGCGGACCCCGGTCCCTGACAGAGGAGAGGCTAAGCTCACAGCACATACCGAGGAGCTGGGGTGTCTACGAGTACAGCAACCTACTGTGTGCTCCTACAGCCTCCAGAACCCAAGTGGCAACCGTGCTAGCCCCTTTGACGGCTTGAGGCCGGCCTCCTGGAAGCCTGTACTTACTGCGCCTAGAACCGGACACCCGCACCCTCAGGAACAGCGGCTGCCATAGCAACAGAGTGACGCCCACTCCCATTTCCCACACAGGAGCTACCTCCAACTGCCCCCACCACGTGACGGAACCTTGGGACTGAGTCCTCTGCCCACTGGGAGCTAAGAAAGATCCCGGCTGTTTCCCACAGTTCCAGGAACATGAGCACCAGTGACCCTCGAACCTGCCGCTACCTGACCACGCCTGCATGTGCCTGCTGAGGACTAGGGAAGGTACTTGTCATGGGGCAGCACCCCCTGATGTGAAAAGCTCTGACTTCTTTGGGGGAGGCACACCCCATCTGCATTCCACACCTCTACCGCCTCTACCAGCATAGTGAGCCGTGTGTCCAGCAAAGCTTGCTCTGTGTGACCGAGGGCCATGCTAAACAGTCTTCAGATACCAAATGAGCTCCAGGTGCCAAAGGCGGGAATTCCAGGACCATGCCTGCTCAACCCACAGAGCTCAGAGGAGGTCTTACCACATGTAACCTGCACCCAGACCAACATAGCTAATGACAGCATCTCACTGTATTCCCTGGTCTTCTGATACAAAAGAGCTGGGACAAATGAGCCCCATTGCCACCGCTGGGGTCTGGAAAAATGTATCTCGACCCTAACCTCCATGAACGTGGCTACCAGTGCCATGAGCACAAGCTACGGCCACAGCCACCCCTCTGGACCTCAGGAAGGTCCCCTTTGTGTTCCAAAACCTCAAACCACAGTCCCCACTATAACAGACTATGGCATCAGCAAATACCTGCCTGAAGAGCTGAGGATGTTCCCACATTTCCCTGCGACTGCTAGTTCCTCGGGCTGAGGCATTTCCAAGCATCTCCCATCAATCCTGAGGACCCTGAGGCAGGCCACCTAGGTCACCTACACTTACTCTGGGAGACCTACAGAGAACCCAACCCCATCTCATACCTCCAAGATGGCAACGGCCATCTCAAGCCCTAGTGCCATCAGGGTTGGGGCTCTGTGGAGCCTGAAGACGCAGGCCTTTGGAGGCTCATGTCCTCCATGGAGACACAACTGTTAGAACCCCTGTAGGCACTGTCAAAAACAGCAAACTCACACAGGCACTATAGCCAATG